TTATTCGATTCTGTTCTTTCTCTAAGGTCACAGACATTTACAAGCCAGTCACCATCACTCGGCACACTCGCGCCAGAAAATTGGCGAAACATTCTTGCCAATCGTACGTCTCTCGCGCACCAATACCTCGTAGGCTAATCAGTGGCTCTAGAATCTACAGCAATAACCAACTTCAAACAAATTACAACTACATCACACACAAAACAACAACAACCCTCACTACTGGCCAGGATAAATTCAGTACACTACCCCAAGACGCACTTCACCAGACACATGAATAAGTGCCACCATCTCTATCTTTTCGCACTTAAACATCGCAGAACAATGCCATCAAAACCGGACACGCTTCCATAAGCTTTCTCTTCCAGCATATAGTATTGGCAATAGCCGATAACTCAGATTTAAGCTTCCATGAGGTCATTCCTTTTGAGAGACATGACAGGTCTGAGATAAACCAATACTTTTAATTTGGCAGTCAGATTACTTCTCTCTGTTCGCGCCGGCTTAGCCTCACCCTCATTATTATAAATGTTTAATGATGTAAAAAAAGTCCAGAAACAACAGTGCTTAGAAGGATGTGGAGAAATCAGGAACACTTTACACTGTTTGGGGGATTGTAACTAGTCAACCAATTGTGGAAGACAGGTGGTGGCCGCTCTAAGGATCTAGAATTAGGAAATATCATTTGACCAGCCATCCATACTGGTATATAACCCAAAATTATACAATATGCGCTATAAAACACGATGCCCACATTTATGTCTTCGGGGCACCATCACAATACAAAGACCTTGAACCAACCCAAATTCCTCATTTCAATGATAGAGCTGGATTAAGAAATATCGTGCACATATACATTGGCAAATACTATGCAGGCCATAAAAACAAGGATGAGTCATCCCTTGTAGACATGGATTGAGCTGGAAACCCATCATTCTCAGAACTAGTCGCAAGGACAAAAACCAAAGACGCATGTTTCCTCCCTCATAAGATGCGGGAATGAACAACGAGAACACCCTGGATCACAGGAAGCGGAACATGACACACAGGATGCTGTTGTGGGCTGGGGGAGGGGGATGGAGGGATAGGCATTAGGAAATCCTAATGTAAATACGATTATGGGGTGCAAGCACACCAACCATGGCACCAACATGGCACATGTATACATATGTAACAAACCTGCATGTTGTGCACATGTACCCTAGAACTTAAAGTATAAAATAATAATAATAATAAATATACACCATCGGCATACCCTGATCAAGGTCTGTTTAAGTATCTGAAATGTCAAATTATCAAGAAGCTGTTTTTAGTCATGTCATTATAGATAGGGATAGAAATCTTCTAGTGATCTGTGTTAAGAAAGATTTTTTGAGCCACATCCGGGTTCAGCAGAAGCTGGCTGATCAATTAGCAATGTTTTCCACATCCACACGCTTGCCGGATAGTTTCCTTTTCTTTTCTAGAACATCCTCTCATTAACTCCTTCCTGGTTCTCTACATGCATGCTTCTCAAGCTTTAACATGGATATGAAACACTTGTTAAGATGCAGATTCTGATGCAGTAGGTAGGGGTAGAGCCCATGATTCTGCATTTCTGAGAAGCTCCCAGGTGATGCTCATGCTGGTCCCCAGAACTTTCAAGTCGCCTTTTTTAACATTATGACAATTTCCCTTGTTAATTACCCAGAAATATTATTACTTTATCCTTTTTTCTTACTGCTGGCCAGGCAGAGAAGTAAGAAAATAGCCACTGCTGTCAGGTCTTAATAATCAGAAAAAATTTAAAATTTAATATAAAAGATTCCTAAAACATTCTATGATCTTCAGTGTGATATATGTCTATATTTATATGTGTGTGTATACATATATATATTCATAAAGTCTGATTTATCATGCTTTTATTGGTAAAAATTTTCTCTCAACCACTCTTTCTCAGTCCTAGACTACAAAAATGATTGATTTTTCCTTAAAATGACCCTGAAGTTCTGCAAGATCCTAAACTCCCTGCTAAATTATCAAATAACTCATTTTCACTACAGTTGCATAATTAATTTTACTTTATTGCAGTCTAATTTTTTAAAATGTTATCCCAAACATGATGTACATGGTAATTCTCAGTTACTTCAAATACACTTCACTCAACAATGGAAATGGCATGAAAGTGAGGGATACTTATTCATTTTTATGAAGATTATTACATAAAATGAGCATATGTGAAAAAAATCAGAAGATACAGCCATTGACAAGTTAATCAGTTTATATCTTTGCACATTATCAGTTGTGAAAAATCCCAAGATATAAAGCTTTTTTAATCATAGTATCTCTCAGAGAGGGTGTGGGCCTTGTACCTTGCACCAAAGCACATTTTCCTCATGGAAAAATTTCCGAACTGAGTCTTCCTCTTTTTTTAAGTTTTATTTGATGTCAGTCACAAGATCAGAAGGATCATGAGGAGTGTCCCTGTCAATGACCAGCTTTTCAGTTCTATGTAGAGTCAATGGGCCCACTTTCTACTCCAGGTCCCTCAATACTTGAAAATTCTGTGTCAATAAGCGGTTTCAGAAATTTCTCAACCTTGGTTAATCTTTGTTTCAGTTTCTGCTGCATGGACTCATACTCAGCCAAGATTCGGGCAAACCTTGTTTGCAGGAGGTCTACTGACCCCTCCATTCGAGTAACTTTCTCTTCAAGATCTTTAGGATCACTGCCAGCATTTGCAATGTTTAGATCCAGTAGACCATCTTTCATTAAAATCTGCTTCCCTTTCTCTTCCAGCATAGTTTTGGCATCTGGATACTCAGTTAGAGCTTCCATGAGGTCATCTTTTGAGAGACAGAACAGGTCTGAGTAGCCAATACTTTTAATATTGGCAGTTCTTCGATTGCCGGCTTTGCTCCCTTTAATATTAAGAATGCTGATCTCACCAAAGTAGCTGCCGTCGCTCAATACCACAAACTGAGTGACTCCATCATCTGCCACCACAGCGAGTTTGCCTTCCTTGATAATGTACATCTCTCGTCCAATATCCCCTTTCTTGCAAATATAATCTCCAGGACTGTAGACTTGGGGTTGCAATTTCAAGACCAACTCCACCAACAGACCAGCTTCACAATCAGCAAAAATGCGTACCTTTTTTAATGTGTCTAAGTGAACATTGATGGCAATTTCTGCTCTTAGTTTATCAGGTAGATACTTTAAGACTTCTTTCTCATCAACTGTTTTTTTGTTGGTCCACAGGTAGTCAAACCATTTAATAACCCTCTTTTCCATATCTTTGCTTACATTTCGAAAATGCATATATTGCTTGATAGCATCAATTCTTGCTTGAAATTCTGCTCTGGCCGCATTCATGTTGGAAATCATAGAACCTATGTTACCAACGATGGTAGCAAAAATTAGCACTCCAATTAGGAAATCAACCACCACAAAGACATACTCAGAATCCCTCACAGGAGGGGGTGTTTCACCAATGGTAGTCAAAGTCAGTGTAGACCAGTAAAGGCTGTATACGTATTTTCTAGCCAAACGGCCAAATTCAGGATCATTAGTATCAGGGTAGACCCATGTATCATTTCCAAATCCAATAGCTTTAGAAATAGAGTAGTACACACATGCATTCCAGTGGATAATGATGACGATGTACATAACAAGGTTGGAAATCCTGAAGATGTTTGGATAGTTTGTCCTTGTTTCTGTTCTCTGGAAGAACTCAAACATACGAGAGATTCGTAATAACCTGTTTAATCTAATTTCTGGATAGTTCCACCCTAACTTAAAATACAGCAAATCAGTTGGTATCAGTGACAGAACATCAAGTTTAAATTGTAAGTTGGATTTATATTTATTTATGAGTTTAAGTTCTTCCTTTACCAGCAGTCCTTGTTCTAGGTAACCTAAAATAAAAAATAAAATAAATTCAGTGTTTCTCCTTTTTATGTAATTGTGAATTTTTGTGAAGTAACTGTCAATTAACTTTGTTGAGGTCAAAAGAAAAATTCATTTTCAATAAATATGACTTTAACAATGTAATAAAATACAAATATCAATCAACCTATGGCTGTAGAAAATATTCTGCTGCAGAAATAAAAGGTAAAATTTTGGCCAGACAGCTCACATCTGTAATCCCAGTACTTTACGAGGCTGAGACTCAATATCACTTGAGCCTGGGAGTTCGAGGCTGCAGTGACCCATGATAGCACTACTGCATTCCAGCCTGGGCAACAGTGAGACCCTGTCTCACAAAAAAAAAAAAAAAAAGTAAAATGTTGTAAGTGCAAAAGTGAAAGTGTACGAATCTCTCAAGGTCTATCATCTCCATCCAGGTAAAGCCATTCCTTTTATGAGTAGTGTTCTTGTGATATTGTGAGATAAATACATATATATATATATATACACATATATATATATGTGGTCCCTGGCACAGGACTCTTAAAACTCTTGTAATTTCCTAAGCAATATGGTTACTAAGTGATTTTTTTTTTTTTAGTCAGAGTCACCCAGGCTGGAGTGCAGTGGCGCAATCTCGTCTTGCTGCAACCTCTGCCTTCCAGGTTCAAGCAATTCTTCTGCCTCAGCCTCCTGAGTAGCTAGGACTACAGGCACGTGCCACCACACCCAGCTAATTTTTGTACTTTAGTAGAGACAGGGTTTCACCATATTGGCCAGGCTGGTCTCGATCTCCTGACCTCATGATCCACCGGCCTTGGACTCCCAAAGTGCTGGGATTATAGGCGTGAGCCACTGAGCCCGGCCCTAAATCCATCTTTTGTTATGGTATTTGGTTCTTGACCCCAGTTCCTGAAACAGAGTTATTTATCCCTTGATGTTTCCTGGGTGATAGAAATGTCTTTTGTTCTGGCCAGGTGCAGTGGCTCACACCTATAATCCCAGTGCTTTGGAAGTCTGAGGCAGGAGGATCCCTTGAGTACAGGAGTTCGAGATCAGCCTAAGTCTCTATGATATTATAAGAAAGAAAGAGAGAAAGAGAGAAAGAGAGAAAGAAAGAAAGAAAGAAAGGAAGGAAGGAAGGAAGGAAGGGAAAGAAAGAGAGGGAGAGAGAAAGAAAGGAAGGAGGGAAGGAAGGAAAAGGTGAGGTCCAAGATGGGGCTGGTCACCAGAAAGACTAAATTATGTTTAGAAGCTTGGAACTTTTACCCCAACCTCCTTCATCCAGGAAAGGGAGAAGCACTGGAGACTGAGTTAATAGTCCATCATGCCTCCATGGTGAAGCCTCTATAAAAATCCCTGAACTATGGGGTTTGGAGCATTATCAGGTTGGTGAACACATCTACGAACTAGGAGGGTGCCACACCCCAGTTCCATGGGGACAAAAGCCCCTGTTCTCATGACTCTTCCCAACTTTGCCCTATGTATCTCTTCATCTGGCTCTTCCTCGGTATCCAGTATCATATCCTTTATTAATAAAATAAAGCAGTAAACGTAAGTGTTTTCCTAAGGTCTGTAAGTTGTGCTAGCAAATTACTGGACCCACGAGGGAGCTGTGGGAATCCCAATATATAGTTGGTCAGTCAGAAGCACAAGCCACAACCTGAGACTTACGATTGGCATCTGAAGCGGGGGATCATCTTGGGAGACTGAACCCTTAACCTGTGAGGCCTGTTCTAACTCCCGTGAGTGTGCGAATTCAGTTAAATTTTAACCCAGCTGGTGTTACAGAATTGCTTGGTGTGTAGAGGAAACACCACATACATATTGGAGACCAGAATTGTATTGTATTGAGAGTGTAGTAATATACAATGCGTTGTTGTTTTTTTCCCCACCATACACAGTTCGTGGAGGGTTTCCTGAACACGCTAGCGATGTACCTAATAGCCCATGCCACTGCCTTGTCAGAATCCCAGCTCTACCCTGGATGCTTGGGTACTTGCCCTGTACTGTCTATTTTGCATATTCTTGCCTTACCCCTTCAATGTGAAGCATAAGCGTCCCTTGAGGCTGCATTTTCATCTGTCATTCTTGCTCCCTTAGACACTTGGGATCTTCCCTCCTATGCTGTTACCATGGGCCTTGTGTGTTTTAAACCCAGCATTTCAGCCATCTGATACATTACACTAGGAAAGGGATTTGCTCCTTCTCCTAAACTGACTACCAAAGTTACAAATATGACAGAGCGAGTGGAGCATTGTTCCAGGATACTAATATTTAGAGAATGTTCTGTTTTACATAATGATTCTTTAAAGGTTATAGTCTGTGTATACCGGTTACATTTGCGAGTGAAGAGTGGTGTAGAAACAATCAGCTTCTACCTACTTAACAGAAATACTTCTGAAGCTATCCCCTCTGGTCAATAATATCTCATCATAAACCACAAAGCTGAGCTAAATGCATTTTTCCTCCTTCTTATAAAATTTTGAATATGGCTCTGCTGAGGACGACATTTTTCCCCATGACTCTTTAAATTATCTCCCTGTTAGGTAGCAATTACTCTTCCCCCTATAACTGGCAGAATATTTCTGCTCTCTCTATTCCTCTCGCCTGGCACAAAACCAATGAACAAGATAATGGAGGAAAGCCGCATCTACTTGTCAAAACGTTGCCTGGTAACTTCCTCTGAATCAGCTGGAGTCATCTAAGCCTGTGAGTTTATACATCGTGACTCTTGCTTTCACCTGTGCCTTTTTCTCTAGAACAGATTTTTGTGGGTTTACTTTGAAGAATACTTGGATTAGGAAATGTCAAACTACAATGCTAGAGATAACAGCATAAAATTTTAAAATATTCAAAACTGAACATATTTACCTGTCCTTGTTCGTACAAACATATCAATTAAATAGACTATGTCTGATACGTAATCTAAAATGAGCCAATATTCTAGGTAATCAGATTGAAGTTCATCAAAACATGCTCTGTAAAAAAAGAAACACCTGTATAAATAAAAAAGAAATGTGGGCCAATTTAAGTAAAAGTTCTCTTTGTATATTTTCTTTATCATGGTGAGAAGCACAGCACACTCAGGCTAGGAGAGGTCCTTAGAGTCCTTTAATCAACCATGGCTTTCCCGAAACTTTCCCTGAGTGGTTGGATTTTGATCCTCACACTTCTGAATTCTAACATCCTTTCCATGATGCTAGTCAGCTTTGTAAAATCATCCAGTAAGAATAAGTGGGTTGAAGAGTACAAGTATACAGTAAGACAGAAGGAATAAATTCAATGTTTGATTAACAGACTGTACTTAACAAAAACGTATTGAACTTGGATGATGGACACCCTAAATACCCTTTGTTATATACAAGTAACAAAATTTCACACGTACCCCATAAATTTGTACAAAAAAATCTTTAAATAAATTTAAAAAATAAATGGCCTAAAACTAAAATCAAAATATGTTGGGTGAAACACATTGATCACCTGGTTCATATTGACTATCTGTACCCAAAATGCTTTAGGAAATTGTGCTTGGCCTTGGATGAGGGAGATGTTTACCATGTAAAAGACACTAAATCCTTGACCTTTATCCACTATTGGCAACATTTTTTTCTCATAGGCCAAAGAAAATAGTTTCTCCCGATGTTCTAATTAAGTTATTATACAACCAAAAGTTTACAAGTCTTCCCCTCCAACAACAGACACTGGGGTCTACTTGAGAGTGACAGGTGGGAGAAGGGAGAGAAGCAGAAAAAATAACTATTTGGTACTAGGCTTAATACCTGGGTGAGAAAACAATCTGTGCACCAAACCCCTGTGACATGAGTTTACCTATATAACAAGCCTGCACATATACCCCTGAACCTAAAATGAAAGGTAAAAAAATTAAAAAAGAAAAGTCTTCCCCTGACCCCTCCATGCATCCCAGTACTGGAGACCCAGTTATACTGAGAACTGAAGCACCTCCTTCTGATTCCAGGAAAACACACTGAGTATAATCTAGCCTCTCTTTACCACCTGCAGTAGAGAAAGGAGGTGTGTCCTAAAAGGCTCTAAGTCAAATTGTTTAGTCAGTGAACTTGGAAATTAGAAATGGGGTGAGATCCACAAAAAAAAAAAAAATTATAGACACCTGGCAATAACCATTGTCCAGTTGTACATAACAGGTAAGGTGATGCAAAACAGCCAGTTGTAATATGTGTTTCCCGAAGGATCAATAACCACAACTTCTTTCTTCTCCCTAGCAGCAATTAGAAATAAAGGGGATAGTTACCAAGATACAAGAACATTTTTATTTACCATATTAAACATCATTATGCCCATCAACCACAATTAATGAAATGGAAGTAAGCTGGAGAAGCTCACTCTGCAGTGGGAAGATTAGCATGGAATAAGAGCATTAGTCATAAGAAAGTGGTTAGTGAGGGGTGGATAAATAACGAAATGACCAGTCTTATATTAAAGCATACATTAGGTTTTTACTAAAGCCCTGGTTTCACTGCGATACTGCAGTCAGTTGTATACTTCAGCCACTGAGAGGGAACAGATCCGAGGCCCCCAACACCCAGGCTGTGGGCCAGTACTGGTCTGTGGTCTGTTAGGAAGCCGGTGGGCCACACAGCAGGAGGTGAGCTGCGGGGCAAGGGAGCATTACTGCCTGAGCTCCGTCTCCTGTCAGATCAGCAGCGGCATTAGGTTCTCTTAGGAGCACAAACCTTATTGTGATCTGCGCGTGCAAGGAATCTAGGTTGCACACTCCTTATGAGAATGTAATCAAAATAAAAATTAAATTTTTATTTCAGCTTTTAAAATGATGGTAAGATCCTAGAAACCTAATCCTCCTTGGAACCTAAATATTTCTCAGCGATAAGTTATCTTCACTAATGCTTAGGGAAGCGAATTAACCATAGAGAATTAAGAATAATGCTACCGTTGCTAATTTGAGGGAAATTAGAAAAAGTTTTAATTCACTTCCGATAATTTATGTTAAATGTTTATTTTTCAATGTTTAAAGACATTTAGTCTTTACACAGGGTTCTTTACTGTAAAGTTTCTTTCTACTTTGTATTATGGAAAACCGTCCCTGCATCTAAAACCCATCACAATTTCATTCTATTTCAATGCCAGTAAAAGTGCTTACTCTTCTTTCTTATCTTTGCTTTTCTCCTCTTTTTTTTTCTTCTCTTTGTCCTTTTTCTTCTTTTTCTTCTCTAGGTCCTTTTTATTTTCGTTTTTATCATCTGACTTGCTGAAAAAGTTAAGCAAGTAGTATTAAAATACAGAAATGTTATGGGCAGAAAAATGTGGGGTAATTCTTGCCAAAGTCTTACCTCTTCTTTGCTTTTTTCTTTTTCTTTTTTTCTTCTGGTTCTCTAAAGAGAAAAATAATATATCTGTCACATAATCACAGTCTTCCACTCTGATTTACTTTCTTTTTCATCAAGCAAATATCTCAGCCTTGCATTCAAAGACCTGCTCCAGTGCTCAAAACCCATCTGGTCTCTTGCTGGAGATTTCTACCAAAAAAAGGGGAGGGACAATTATCCAGATAATAAACAAAAACTTCTAAGCTAATAGATGTGGGAAGTAGAAACGAATGGAGATGAATAAAGGCATAAAACCAAGGAGAAAAATTTAAGAAACAACAGCCCCCCAAGAGTGTTCTTCCAAAGTGTTAATGTATTAAAAATAATTTTTAAAATTTAAGCTTCTTGACATTATTTACATTTATCCTTGAATAAAATCATTGAGAATTTTAAGAAAATGCCATCAATTTTCTTTAGAGGGAATAACCCTGACTGAAGTCATTTTTCATGAGTAATCAACAAGCTGTCTGGTAATATGGTGGAATCTCAATTATTAGAATAATTTATCAGATTTAAGGCCACATTTTTCTATATACAATTTCTTCTTGAGTGGAGATTGTGTAACTAGTGCCTCTTTCTATAATAAACTTTCTCTATCAGCAGGGGAATAGATTCTGAAGTCAGACAGACCTAGGGTTATAGCAGGCTGCCGTTGTCAGCTCAGATGTCTTAGGAAATTTCATTATCCAGACATGAATGAAAAGGCATCTCATTACCACTAGGATAGTCAGAGAAGGCTTTTAAAAGGAGGTAGGTCTAAAGCTAGGCCTCAAAGTATGACTAAGAGTTGGAGAAGTTGAGAAGAGAGAGGATATTAGAGCAGAAAAATTTCTAAGTGCAATGGACTTAATCTGGGTAAGAATGACCCAGCAGAAGTGGAAAGCCTCTGTTGAGAAGAAATGGAAGATAAGATTGACAAGTGAGGTGAGGCTTAACATCCAAGATGGTCACGTACAAACAGGGACAGAACCATAAAGTTGGATAAGGAAGAATTTACTGCTATGGGAGTACACTTCTATGAGTCAAGATTTGACAGCCTACCATGGATCCTGAAGGATGATGTCAACACACTACTCAAACGGCTCTTGGAAACCTGGAAAAGGTAATGGCCTATACAAAATGAAATAAACATTAACACCATGGCAGATGGTGGAGGAAGGTATCAAAAGACTCAGAAAAGTGGCATCTTGAAGTGGATACACTGTTTGGAAGATAGCCTACCAGCTAATTATGTTCCCAAAGAGAGCTCAAAGGATGCAAAAGTGATGTGGAATAGGCTGGTGAGAGGGGCATTAGTAGCTTTGAGAAGTTCAGTGGTGCTATCCTCTGTAGGCCAGGGCTGATGACGGGAAATGCCGTTACAGAACTGGGTTCTCTGAGAGCAACAGGGTTAATAAGATCCAGAAATAACTGAGACTAATGGCAGTGCTTATCCATCAGAAGTAAGGTTTCTTCAGTAATTATAATGAGCATTAAGGTGGGTATGGTAACAAAGGGGCTTAACCTATAGACAGCTATGGAGGAGGTTAATAGAACACAGTATTCCTAGACAGATGGGAAGACTATTAGCTAGTTAGGGTATTATTTAATATATACAACCCAAACAAATCAGGAATGAACAATTAGGAGGTTGAGGGCAACTCATTCCATCAAAAAAATCAGAATCCTGGTAAGGGCACGGTGGCCCATGGCTATAATCCCAGCACTCTGGGAGGTCGAAGTGGGAGGATCACTCAAGCCCAGGAGTTCAAGACCAGTCTGGGCAACATAGCGAGACCCTATCTCAAAAAAGAATTGATTCATTACAATTTAAATTTTAAAAAAAAAATCAGAATCCTTAGAAAAGTTCCAGATCTGAGCCAATACTTAGACCTAAAACCACTGACTAGAGGAGAAGCCATGACCCAGGAAGAAAAACTCTGCAACACTATGACAAATATATTCCAGTAATGATTTCCTCAGTCTTTGTCCTAAAGAACCTATGGACATTACTTAGATCACTGTACTCTGGGGGAAAAAAAAGAATTCTTAGATACATCGAAGACTGGCACAGGATCCAAGTTGATGTTGACACCTAGGGATTGAAGCATCATTGTGGCCCCCTGTTAAACTTGAAGAGCATATGATGGACTGGTAATAATAGATTTCTGGATGAGATATGACTTATGGTGTTTCCACTGAGTCCACAGACCCACTACTATGTGATCATTTCTCCAGTTCCTAAATGTAAAAGTGAAATGTATGTAATTCTTGAATATAAAAGTAGAATGTATACAAGTTCCTGAATATAAAAGAGAAATGCATATAATTGCATAAAATCATGCATGGAGGAGTGGTGGTCTCTCTTAATTTCCCCATGTAATTTATCATCTGACTCCCATAAAAACTAAATAGATCCTAGTGGATGGCAGATAGACTATTGCAAAATCAACCAAGTAGTAGCCCCAATTGCAGCTGCCGTGTCCTATGTGGAAAATAACAGAGATCCATTCTGTGATCATTTCTCCAGTTCCTAAATGTAAAGTGAAATGTACATAATTCCTGAATACAAAAGCGAAATGTAGATTAATGGTCATTGGCAGAACTCCCACCCTTACCCCACTAGTTCCTTGGCTTGTGAGGAAAGAAGGGTAAGATCAAGGAGAAGCCCTTAAGCTGCTTCCCACCTTCTGGCCAAAAGCAACATTGCATCCTGGGGAGAAAAAGAAATTCCATCCTTAAAGACCTAAAGGATGCAGGGGAAGTGATCCCTCTTCATTTCCCCACATAATTCATCATCTGACCACTGCAAAAACCAAATGGATCCTAATGGACAGCAGTGGATGACTGCAAAATCAACCAAGTGGTAGCCCCAATTGCAGCTGCTGCGTCATATGTGGAAAACCATGCATTCACTTGATATACACTGCATACCTAAGGTTCTGGGTCAGTCATGTGAATGTCATTTTTCACTACTATCAGGAAAGAGGATCAGACATAGTTCCTACTCACATGGGATGACAAACTGTACACATCTACACTCTTTTCCAAGGCTATATTAACTCTCTTTCCTACTGTCATGATAGTCTTGAGGGACCTGGATCATGTGGACATTTCTCAAAGCACCACATTAGTCCACTATGTCTGTATCAATGGCATTCTGTTAATCAGACCCTGAAATAGGATTACCTTCCCAAAGTGCTGGGATTACAGGTCTGAGCCACCATGCCTGGCCTTCAGTACCCTTCTTTATGTCATTTTCCGTGGCTGGAAATTTCCATTCCTTTTCCACTATGTCATTTTCCACTCAGCACCTATTTATCAGCCCCCACCTGTGGCCATATGTGGGGTTCTTAAGAAGGATCTGATACAGCGTGTTGCATAGATGGGTCAGTTTAGAATGTGGATGCAAGCCAAAATGGGCTGTGTCTGCACCACAGTCTCACTTAAGAGATGGTCTTGAAAGACAGTGTGAGGTTAATTTCCCCAATGGCACAGCTTCAAGCAGTATACAGTCATCTAGTTTGTATGGAAAAAGAAATAGTCCAAGCTGGGTGTGGTGGCTCATGCCTGTAATCCCAGCTCTTTAGGATGCTGAGGTGGGAGGATCACTTGAGGCCAACGAGTTGGAGACCAGCCTGGCCAACATGGCAAAACCCCACTAAAAATACAAAAATTAGCCAGGCGTGGTGGCGCACACCTATAATCCCAGCTACTCGGGAGGCTGAGGCAGGAGGATCACTTAACTCCAGGAGATGGAGGTTGCAGTGAGTCGAGATTGCACCACTGCACTCCAGCATGGGGAACTGAGTGAGATCTTGTCCCAAAAAAATAAATAAATAAAGGAAAAAGAAATAGCCCAAATTAAGAATATACAAGTACACAAGAACTCATGGGCAGTCACAAATGCCTTGACTGTTGGTCAGGGACCTGGATGGAAAGATCAGGGAAAATATTTCGGGAGAAGAGGCAGACTGAATGGACATATTATGAGTGTGAGCACAAAGTTTGAAAAATCTTCGTTTTTGTTTGTTTGTTTTTTGCTCTTAGTGAACCTATCTGTTACAGAGACCAATGCTATGACTCCAAAACAGTGCTTTCTCTTGAGGAAAGTAATCAGTCACTTGATGGCAAGTTAACTAAATTGGACTCCTGACACCATGGAAGGGGCATCAAATATATTGATAAGAACTGACATATATTATGGCTATTCATTTGCTTTTTTGCCACAGGGCTTTGACCAGTGCCATTACTTAGGGGCATATGAAGCATGATTACTAATATGAAATATTGCTTAACATCACTTTGGACCAAGGACTCGCTTTAAGGCAAAAAAAAAAAAAAAAAAAATATGGCATTGGACCCTGAGTATGAGATCCCATGGTCCTATCATATACTGCACACCTTTTGTCAGCTACTGACAGGATAGTTAAGGAGTGACCTTTTGAAACCACAGCTGAGGTGTTATCATAGAGTTTATACTCTAGGAAGATAAGGTGCCATCCTCTAGGATACTGTATATATGCTAAAACAATGATCATTGTATGCTTCCTGTATAGAATGAATTGGTCTGGGAACTAAAGGGTCTAAGTAGGGGTGACAAATGTAGGAAAGGTGTGTTTCCCATTCTTGCAACTTAAGGATCTGTGGGTCTAGAGGCCCTGGCTTCCAGAGGGGTGATGCATCTGCCAGGGAATGCCAGAGTTCCATTAAACATTAAGCTATGGCTACTCCCCAGCCACTTTGGGCCCCTCATGCCAAGAAACCAACAGGCAAGGAAGAGAGTCACCACACTGGCAAAAGTTATTGACCTTGATCATCAGAAGTAGGCAGTGCTGCTGTTATACAATGCTGGGAGGGGAGATGTATTTGCACCTAGGTGGTCTTTTGTTATTTTCCAGCCCAGTTTTGGTGGTAAATGGGCAAGTACTGTAGCCATGACTCAAGAAGGGCATGGTGACCCAGGGCTCAAGTCCTTCAGGGATGAGTGTCTGTATTGTTCACACCAGCTAAGTCATCTAGACCAGCAGACCCTAGAATGAGTAGAAGCAGAGAGGGTGAAGAATTTCATTTGAGGCCTCAAAACCACCTGCAGCTGCCAGAGACCTTAGTTTAATTCCATTAACTTTCCTCTTACAAGCTTTCTCAAGAAAAAAGAATAACCAGGATCCTGGAGTAGGTATTCCCACATGGGGTGAATTTTCTATATAAACAAAATAGATCTGAGCAGCACACAGGTGGGCTGTACAGTGGTTATGCAGGTGGTGCACAAAATTCAGGCACTCATTCTCCACTTGCCAAGAGTGTTGGTTGCTATCAGCTCAGTTTTTCCTCTCACTTGGCTGGCCTTGGCTGAAGGAAACCACCATGTTCAAGGTTATGCTCCATCTTCTAGGGCCAACCTTTTTCCAGTAACTGTTCATGGGTACAAAGGCCCAAGTCTATTACCTAAATAGGGACAACTCTAAAAGGTCATCCCTGCTCCAGGGATCCCCATTGAATCACATTGTACATCAGCTCTATTCTCTGAAGTTCGACTTCTCCCTCTCCCCAATACTGACCCCCAACTCCCTTCCAGATATTGTTCCCAAGACTATTCCCAACAAACCTCTGCATACAAGCCTCCATCTCAGAAACTGTTTCCTGAGGAACTTCACCTAAGACACATTGGCTCAAACTGGAAAGTTTCCAGGAGTAATGTGTTTCACTTATTTTTCTCAGTCACTCTATTCACAAAGAAAGTCAACTGCATGAACACTACAGACATGATTTTTTCTACATGTATTCAAATAAATGAATGAATAAATACTACTTTTCAACAAAATGGTAGACTATCATTGCCATTGTATTAGATCATTTGCTTAATAAATATTTCCTCTATAACAGATTCAGATATATTCCTACCTTTTTTACTGGTTTTCTTTAAAACCATAGCTTTGGTTTTCTATTGTAAATATACTTACTGGTCCTTATTGCTGCTGTTGTTCACATTAAAAAGTGCAATGGCACCAGGCAGGTACTGCTCTCTGGGAAATGAAAAACATGCATTGAAATCACAATAGTCACCATCTGTATAATGTCCATGGTAAGCAAATGGTCGGAAAAAACAAATTCTTTCTTGTTTCTACTCATTACTAAAGAGGTCTAGATGATATTTCAAAAACATATTATGAAGCATAAGGCATAAAAGTGTATCCTGAGCCTCCATGAAGCATGACTTGCCAAATGCCAGTGTCTTGAACAAACATGGTGATATGGTTTGCCTGTGTCCCCACCCAAATCTCATCTTGAATTATAGTTCCCATAATCCCCACATGCCATGAAAGGGACCCGGTGGGAAATAATTCAATCATAGGAGTGGGTGTTGCCTATGACATTCTCATGCTAGTAAGTAAGTCTCACAAGATCTGATGGTTTTATAAAGGGCAGTCCCCCTGCACATGCTCTCTTGCCTGCCACCGTGTAAGATATGACTTTGCTCCTCCTTTACCTTATGCCATGATTGTGAGGCCTCCCCAGCCATGTGAAACTGTGAGTCCATTAAGCCTCTTTTTCTTTATAAATTACCCAGTCTCAGGTATTTCTTCATAACAGTATAAAAATGGACTATAATACACATGGTTAGTAAATGCATATCGGTCAAAGTTCATACCAAGAATTAGCTTAAGTGAACCAACCTCAATGCCAGTAACTCCCAACAAGAGACCTAAGATGGTCAGGGAAAATAAGATGAGGAGAAAAGATAAATAAAAACAATGGGAAGGCTGGAGGTAGTCAGTGGGAAGAAAAATAGGAAAGAGGGGAAAACAGGGGAGGAAAAAAGCAAAGAAAAACTAATTATGTAAAACAGGTGGAAACCCCAGCTCCACACCAACACCACACCACACCCCTTCTGCAATCTCAATTCCGGTATCTGAAGTTTTCACAACTTCTTTATTTCCTACTAAGGATTTTTTGCTTTTCTCTTCTAGCACCTCTCTCCAGTGCTCTATTTTCTAAAAGTAGGACCAAATGGGATGGAGCATTTTAGAAAATAACAGCTAACCCTCTCACATGTACTTGCTTCGGGACCCTGAAAGAAGGATCAGAGAGAAACAAGAAATCAGAGAGGACTGGGTTTCTTAAGGGACAGATCCCAATGGGTCTCAGGGAAAATGAAGCAAGAGTGTTTACAACTTGGAACCCCATGGCGATAAATAATCACTGGGCAGTGGCAGTATTTCCCAAGAGATGGCATGGGTAGGAACAAAAATAACTCCTCCTGAGATCCCACATCTTGTCTAGATAGCAGAGGCATTTGACAAGCTTGCTCCTAAGAAGTAAAAGACCTTTTATCTAAACAACAGTTTACAAACCCATTTATGTCTAGTGTTTGATTATTGGAATGCTAAGCATGTGGGAGTTACTTCTATTCTACTGCTCAAGGTCGTCGCCATGGTCTGATTGCAAAAATTCAAAACACTGCAACCTTAGGCACAAATGGTTAAAAACAGGCACCAAGGATGGATCATACTGCTCACCTCTGTGATGGTCCTCCCTTTCTGTGTGACTTATAACTAAAGGAACCCCTTGCATGATGGTTTTCATTCTCTGATTCTTCAGATATAGAGGCACTGTCATCATCCTCAGAAAAGGAGCTACAGTCCAATAGGAGGCAGAGAGAGATGCGTTAATGTTTTCAACCACTGCGGAGGAGCAACATTCCTCACTAGGGGGACAATTGCCTCACCTCTTTTCCTTCCCTGCTAAACTAACACACATAACAATTTTTAGTGAGCATGAAGTTAGAACTATACAGAATACATAGAATTATATAAAATGTATGCATAATTCAGTAAAATGCATTTAACTAAGAAACTACTTTCTAGGTTTTCCACATTTCTATTGTTTGATGCATTGATTGATGTTAATATTTATCAAATAGCAAGTGTGATATCCGGGACTTAGATCATATTAAAAATTTGAGTGAACTAGTTTTCTAACTAATGTTTCTTCCCACTAAAAGTAAATTCAACCACATTCATATACATTATATTCATTTATAGGGTAAGCACTTTAAATTATACTTTTAAATCACTTTGCTAGCATTTCATACTCTGAGTACCTTTCACATATATTTATGGCAATGTCATCTCTTTAGATTCAAAATGTCCCATGAGGAAAAGCCCTGCCAGTGACTAAAGAAATGTTTGGCATAGGTGCTTAATAGGTGCTTCCAAAAAAGTGACCACAATAATATCTATGTTCAGGCCGGGCATGGTGGTTCACGCCTGTAATCCCAGCACTTTGGGAGACTGAGGCAGGTGGATCACTTGAGGTCAGGAGTTCGAGACCAGCCTGACCAATATGGCAAAACCCTGTCTCTACTAAAAATACAAAAAAAATTAGCCGGGCATGGTGGTGCGCACCTGTAGTCCCAGCTACCCAGGAGGCTGAGGCAGGAGAATCGCTTGAAACCAGAAGGCAGAGGTTGCAGTGAGCTGAGATTGTGCCACTGCACTCCAGCCTGGGAAACAGAGTGAGACTCCATCTCAAAATAAATAATAAATAAATAAATAAATAAGTCTGTGTTATTTGTTAGACAAGTTATGCTATTCCAAAGTATGAATAAATTTGCTAAATTAAATACATTACAAAGTTCAAGGTTACAAGTTATAAAGCTAAATTGAAATTAAACCTAGTTAAATTAAAGAACCGTGGCTAATATTAAAAATGCATGGGAAAATATTTGGATTTACCTGCATGCTCCATTTTCCATCTTTCTTATTTCCTTTTCAATATCTGGTACAATCACATTGGGCATGTTTACAAAGGACTGTTGTGTATTGACAATATTTTTCTTCATGGTTAGTTTCATATCTGAGGAGAAAGAAGTCTTATTAGTGGGAAGGATATTTTTATATATTTACATATATAATCAAAAGTTTCACCCTATGTATTAATCTGTTCTCATGCTGCTAATAAAGATGTACCTGAGACTGGGTAATTTATAAAGGAAAGAGGTTTAATGGACTCTTCCATGTGGCTGGGGAGGCCTCACAATCATGGCAGAAGGCAAAGGAGAAGCAAAGGCACATCTTACATGGCAGCAGGGAAGAGGACGTGTGCAGGGGAACTCCCCATTACAAAACCATCAGATCTCATGAGACTTATTCACTATCATGAGACTAGCATGGGAAAAATCCACTCCCATGATTCAACTACCTCCCACTGAGTTCCTCCCATGACACAGGGATTATGGGAGCCGCAGTTCAAGATGAAGTTTGAGTGTCCCAAACCGTATCAACCCTACCATTTTTCTAAGACTATAATACTGTCTATTTGCAGTTTTACATAGGAATTATTCTTTAATAAAATGCAGGCATGGCTTATTCCCCTAATTTCCATTGACTAGTTTTTTGTAAAATTTTTTAAATTTAAGAATGTACTAGAGATATAAAACATTTACAAATTTGGATTTATCCCAGTTTTGAAATACTCAAGCAATATAATGTAGAACAAAACCATAGGGACCTCACATACCCATCAAGCAATTAAATAACAGTAAAAAGCAGTAGATGTAATGGAGGTAATCAGCTGTGAATTTCTTTAGGCGTTTAGACAAAAAGAGTCCTAAGTGGTGTTCAAACTTTAGAGGAAATAAAAATAAAATTGATCACATTTTTAGCAAGTCCCCTAAATTATTCAGATGCATATATACCCGAGCAACATATTTTGAAAACACTGGCCTAAACTCTAGTCAGGGCATATAATTTCCTCAGCGCAGGTAGAGGAGGCAGGGTGGAATCTCAATTCACTTTCCAGCTGCTCTCAGCACAGGCCATGCCCCTTTGGCTGCTGTCTGAGACATTGCCTTCTTCACTGGCTTCAGCTTCCATCCATCTATGATTTCTGTTCATGGTCCTCAGGAAGGATCCTCTCTCTAGTTTGAGGGTACTCACCTTGGGAATGTCGGTAACTGATGCAGGGAAGGGGACAGAGAAGTGCTGGGTAGAGAAGGCCGGGGTCCCTGGCGAGAGCTCCACAGTCGGGCCTATGCCCTCGGACCTAAGTGAAAACAGGCACTCCTGTTTTTGCCCCAACGATGCATTTTCCGGGACCACTCTGGCTGCCACGTCCCCCGCATCCTGTGCCCATATACACCTGAGACCTTAGCGGGCACACACACAAGCGGCTGAATGTCGAGAGGAGAAGAGGAACAGAGTGGCAGAGAATGGCAGAGAGCGACGGAGAGTGGTGGAGAGCAGCAGGGCGGCACGGCGGAGAAGGAGGGAAGAGGCGTCTGAACATCAAGAGGAGCTGTGTCCAGAACGGCAGAACTCCAGTGGTAGATTATCCCCACACCCCTCCACCTTCCCGGAACTCCAACTCCCCATCACTCTGAAAGTCACCTCTACTGTTCAACAAAGTCTCCGCATTCATCACCTTTCAAACAGTTCATATGACCTGATTTGTCCGGGACTCCGGAAAAGAATGAAGGTGGGGAGGTTAACACTCAGCTGTCCCCGGACAGCAAGGCTAAAGGAGCTCACTATAACACATGCCCACTTGGACTCTGGGACCTGTCCGTCTGCGTGCTCCCCCTTCCCTCAGGGGTTTGAGCAGCAGCGAGGGAGGAGACTAAACAGGTGAGCCACACCCCTGCCACACGTCCCGCAAGGGGAATCAGGAAACCTTCCCATTTTATGACCACATGAAAGATGACATCGCCTGCTTCTTCCATGGCTTCCAATACTCGGTGCCAGAATGGCTCTGACTGCAGAGTGGAGAATGTTCCTCCCCTTAATTCCTTACTGGCCTTGATCACCTAGGCTTTGAGTTTGATACTTGCCCTTAAAAGAGTCAACCACTTAAAGAACATAGTTCTGTTCAAAACGAGCACATGTGAGGCACCCCTTCAGGGATTCCCTGGAAAACCTTGCCAGCCTTTTTGAGAGGGATAAGCCTGAAGGCCCTCTGGGTGTAGGTAGAGCTGAAATTCTGTGCCATTGATGACTATGTAAGTTTGTTTGGATCCAAAGACTCCATGGGCCCAGAGAGCTTTAAACTATATTTAAACAGGGCTGCTGTGTAAAGGTACCCAGAGATACAGCTAGACCAGTTGTTTATAACCATGCTTTATAACTATCCTTTTCTGATAGGTAAGTGCTCAATGACTATAATAGATGTTAAATAGTTTAGTATCACTTTTTCCTAGTTTTATTACTTAACAGTTTTGTGTACATGCCTCAGTGACTCGATTAGGAAATGAATTCTTGGAATCCAATAAAATTTCTTTTTCTTTTCTTCCTTTTCTTTTTTTTTTTGAGACACAGTCACACTCTATCACCTAGGCTCACTCAGCTCACTGCAACCTCTGCCTCCTGGGTTTAAGCTATTCTCCTGTCTCAGCCTCCCAAGTAGCTGGGATTACAGTTGCCCACCACCACGCCTGCTAATTTTTGTATTTTTACTAGAGATAGGGCTTCGCCATGTTGGTCAGGCTGGTCTTGAACTCCTGACCTCAGGTGATGCTCCCCCGTCAGCATCTCAAAGTGCTGGGATTACAGGTGTGAGCCACCGCACTTGGCCCATATAACAATTTTTTTAATGCTTGGGCTATGCTATGAAAACAGATTATTACTAAGGTACAAAGTGGTGTTCTGGCTGCAGTACCCTGCGTGAGCCATGCTGTTTCACACCTCTGTGCCTTTGCATGTGCTCTCTTTGGACTTCAAAAGTTCACTTCTCTTGAGTCCAAATAGGTGTTATCCATTGCTCAAGTCCAAGCCACTGACTCCTCACCCTTGATCTAGATGATTACTTCCTTCTCTTCTCTGCCACTGCATTTTGTACATATTTCAATTATTTTCTACTTGCTAAATTGTTACACACACTGTCTTCACAAGGCTACAACCTCCTCTAGGAGGGAGACTTTTGAAACCCCAGCAGAGTGCTTGCGCATAATAGGTACTCAAGAAATGCTCACGGCATGAACAAATCTTGTTTTGTGTTTTAAAAACTATACTCACGAGACATTTCATTAGCAGTTATGAAAACTCACTGAATTTACAATGACTTTGAAATGGTTCCTAGGGTGACAGATATGGTGAATTGGCCCACATCATCCATTCTTCTCTCCTTCTAGTGTTCTTTCATGATCTGCAAAAACTGGAAGAGCTAAAAATCTGTATTACTCAGTCTGCTTTGCAGCTCAGATTCTGGACAGAACTTATGGCATTTAGGTTTAGTCAATTAAATGTATTTGTATGAAATTTGGAAGGTAGAAGTGAGGTGAAGACAATGGATCTTCCATTTCTGCTATGGCTGCCAGCAAGAATGGGCAGGGACGCATTGTGTATTCTGAGGCAGCTATCCCTGTCTGGTTACTAGCTTTCCTGGTGCCAAAGAGAGGGCATCCAGGTGATGCCGGAATGCACCTAGCAGGAGTAGGGCGACTGTTGTGCCAGGTTGCAGTGGAAGTGGCTCATAGGAATTCTGGGATGCTGTTCTGGGGTCATGCCTATGGTTCAGCCTAGAGCCCCAGCCCTTCTAATGACTGTTAGCATCTATTTCCAAGAATTAAAGCTCTTTCTATTGAAAAAGACCAGTGTACAATTCGGTTTCTGCAAATGAACAAATTACTTTCCTGATTTTCGATACATGAAGTGTTGTAGAACATTGGAAAAGGTTGTCAAAATGAGGGAAAGGAAGGGGGAGGAAAAGACAGAACGGGAAATGTGAAAGAAGAGGAAGGAAAAGGGAAGAAGGGAGTGTGGGAGAGGTGGTAGAGAAGAGAAAAGCAGAGCACATTCCTAGACTTTTTGTTACTATTGTTGTTGTTTGAAGAAATTTTAGGAGAAACATTAATGGTCAAACTGCCTTTTCTGCTGGCATTTAAATATCTACATTATGAGAAATTCCAGAATTTACTGCAAATTTTAATTTTTTAAATTTTTTTAATTTATTTTAAGACAGAGTCTCGCTCTGTCACCCATGCTGGAGTGCAGTAGCACAATCTTGGCTCACTGCAACCTCTGCCTCCTGGCTTCAAGTGATTCTCCTGCCTTGGCCTCCCAAGTAGCTGGGATTACAGGTGCGTGCCACCATGCCTGGCTAATTTTTTTGTATTTTTAGTAGAGACAGGGTTTCACCATGTTGGCCAGGCTGGTCTCAAACTCCTGACCTCAGGTGATCCACCCACCTTGGCCTCCCAAAGTGCTAGGATTACAGGCATGAGCCACCGCCACCAGCCTGCAAATTTTTACATTAGTCTAACCTTTTGAGACGATGAGAATGTTGTCTTCTTAAATATGTTCATGGATCTTTTATTGAAGTGAGCAAAAATCACAGGCTGGGCATGATGGCTCACACCTGTAATCCAAGCACTTTGGGAGACTGAGGTGGGAGGATTGCTTAAGGCCAGGAGTTCAAGACTGGGCAACATAGCAAGATCTCCATTTCTACAAAATAAAAATAAGAATAAAATATTAGCCCAGAGTGGTGATGTGCACTGCACCCATAGTCCCAGCTACTTGGCAGGCTGAGGCAGGTGGATCACTTGAGCCTTGGAGGTCGAGGCTTTAGTGAGCTGTGATTGTGCCACTGCACTCTAGCCTGGGTGACAGAGAGTGACCTTATCTCTAAAAATAAAATTAAAATTAAAAATGGAAATAAGAAAATCACTGATATTTGTGCCTGTAGTTCACAAACACTAGCGGCAATTTGAAGAAAGGTGAGTTTAGCAATGATGAGAAACATATTTATGCTGTTTAAAAGATCTCCCACCAGACATAGAACTGAACCGATCAAACAGTATTAAGGTTTCAAATATTCAGAAATCTTGATCAGCTTTGGCCATTCTCCTATGTTGTAAGCATTTGATAATGTATCAGATAGATGTGTTTATAATTTTGTTTTTTTCAGACGGAATCTCACTCTGTTGCCCAGGCTGGAGTGCAGTGGCGGGATCTCAGCTCACTGCAACCTCCACCTCCCAAGTTCAAGTGATTCTCCTGCCTCAGCCTCCCAAGTAGCTGGGACTACAGGCATGTACCACCATGCCCGGCTAATTTTTTGTATTTTTAGTAGAGACGAGATTTCACCATGTTAGCCAGAAGAGTCTAGATCTCCTGACCTCGTGATCTGCCCACCTCAGCCTCCCAAAGTGTAGGGATGTGAGCCACTGCACCTAGCCATGTTTGTAATTTTTACATACACCTCTATTTAACAATAACTTTGCTCATGCTGTTCATTTTGCATGGAATTCTTGACCCCTTTTGTTCTCCCAGGAAAAATCCTATTTGCCCTTCAAAAATCAGTTCATATATGCCCTGTGAAAAGACATCAATGAAGCCAGTACGCGTGTTGGTCAGCGCGGCAATCCCATGGCCACTTTGGGACCGAGGCGGCCTGATCACCTGAAGGTCAAGGTTCAAAGGCAGCGCGTGCCAACATGGTGGAAATTCGTCATCTCTACAAAAAATACAAAATGTAGCAGGGCGATGCATTGGCACGTGCTGTCTCGTCCCACCTCACCTACTGTGGGAGACTGAGGCTGTGTCTTTTTGTCGCCGAGAAGTCGTTTTGTGGTTAGTATGGTGTGTGGAGTGGTATGGGTGATGTGTCTGTCTTGTTGCAGCGTGAAGACGGACAAGAGAATCCATCTCAATAAAAAAAGAAAAAAAAAAAAAAACCGGTAGATGATTACTTGGGCACAGAATCCAGCACACCCTCCTTTTTGTTCCCATAGTTCTGTGCATCTTCTTCTATACACGCTGGCTACTACATGGGTACTGATACGTCCTCCTCCCCTGATAGATTGTGAGCTCTTTGGAAAAGTTCATGCAGGAGCTCTTGAACATAATACCTGACATTTACTAAAGCTTTTTAGCCTTAAAGTGGAATCACTTCTGCACCAAGTTTTAATTGAGTACCTTAAACATAATTCATTATAATTATTTCATTTTTCATTTAAGTAATACAGAAATACAAGAAATAAAGTTAAAGCTACCAATAAATGTATTTTTATTACAAAAATAAAATCACTTGCCATAACAGAATTACTTTGTTTATAGAGAAATTAACAACATAAAGAAGAAAATGCTTGTGAAGAAGATTTTATATGATCAATCAACAAAGACATGAAGCATGAAGATTTTGAGAAAGGTTAGGAAACCATAGAGAAAGACAGGTACAAGTCACCAGTGAGAGAGTTGATGGCAAATGTGAGTGCTGGTGCCCGACAGCTTCACAAAAACTACAGTGCTTAATCAGAGGCAAAGGGAATAAAATAGAAACTCAAAAGAAATGAGAAATCAATAGCAACAATCAATGGTACACATTCATCTAAGAGCCTTTGGACAATCAAAAATAAGTCAGATTTAATTAGTTCCACTAATCCATGTTCACTTTGGAAACTTGAAAACCTTGTGGCCTGAGTGTGCAAATAAAGTAAATTATCATTTTAAAAGTACATGAAGGAAAAAAGAAAACTCACCCCTACCTCACACCACCACAAAAATTAATTCAATATGGATCACAGACCGAAACATAAAAGCTAAAATTACAAAGCTTCTAGAAGAAAACATAGGAAAATATTCTCATAACTTTGGGGTAGGCAAGATTTCTTAGAAAGGGCACAAAAAAGATACTCAATCTAAAAGGAAAAAAATCTTTTGAGACAATCTCACTGTGTCACTCAGGCTGGAATGCAGTGGCGCCATCTTGGCTAACTGCAACCTCCACTTCCTTGGTTCAAGCAATACTCCTGCCTCAGCCACATGAGTAGCTGGGATTACAGGCACCTGTCGCCACACCTGGCTAATTTTTTTGTATTTTTAGTAGAGTCGGGGTTTCACTACGTTGGCCAGGTTGGTCTCAAACTCCTGACCTCAAGTGATCTGCTCGCCTTGGCCTCCCAAAGAGCTGGGATTACAGGTGTGAGCCACCGTGCCCGGCCCTAAAATAAATTTTTAATGCATTGGATAGCACCAAAATTATAAACTTTTGCTTATCAAAAGACATATAAGAAGATGTAAAGGCAAGCCACAGATAATCATATTCATAGTACATGTATCTGACAAGACTTATATACATAATATTTATGAAATTTTATGCAAATCAACAATAAAAACAACCCAATAAAAATATAAACAAAAATCTTCAACAAATTCTTCGCAAAAGAAGATATAAAAATATTAGTCTACAAATAAATACAAATTAAAACCACAACAAGATACGTTTTCACACCTAGTACAATGGCTACAATTTAAAAGACCAAGACCCCAAATGTCACGCACATCACTGGTGGGACGAAGGACGGTACAACCTCTTTGGCAAACTGTTTGGCAGTTACCTACAAACACACAACTACTCTGTTTCTCAGTAATTCCACTATATATATTTATTCAATTTAAGATGGATCACTGACCTAAACATAGAAGCTACAATTATAAAGCTTCTAGATGAAAACATAGGAAAATATCCTCATGACTTGGGATAGGCAAGACTTCTTAGAGAGTGCACAAAAAAGACACTAAATCTAAAAGACATTTTTGATGCATTGGATATCATTAGAATTCCAAATTTTTGCTTATCAAAACACATATAATGAAATGAAATCATATGTATATAAAAACACTTGTACAAGAATGTTTTCATCAGCTATATTTATAGAAGTCCCAAACTGGAAGCAACCCATATTTTCATCAATAGAGGAATGGATAAACAATCTGGTTTAAAAGAACAATGAAATACTTTTCAGCAATAAGTAGAAATGAACTCTTGATACTTGCAACAACGTGGATGAAGCTCAAAAACACGAAAGAAGCCAGATATAAGAGTATATGCTGCACGATTACATTTATATAAAATTCAAGGACAGGCAAAACGTTGGTGATAGAAATAAAAATAGTAGTTGTCTAAGGGGGGTGAAATTTACTGAAAAAGGCACCAGGGAACTTTCTGGAATGAAAATTGGGGAAGGTGGTTACATGAGTGTATACAATGATCAAAAGTCATCAAATTGTATCCTTAATATATGTGCATTTTACTCACAGTATGCAAATTTTACCTCAATTCTTAAATACAAAAATATCTGCATCAAAAATATTAAGAAGAAGGGCCTTGACCTTGGACTTCTCAGACTCCAGAATAGCAAAAAACAAAAAAACAAAAAAACAAAAAAAAAAAAAAACCTTTTCTTTTTAAATTGTCCAGTTTCAGATGTTTCTTTTCCTTTTTTTTTTAATACTTTAAGTTCTAGGGCACATGTGCACAACGTGCAGGTTTGTTACATATGCATACATGTGCCATGTTGGTGTGCTGCACCCAGTAACTCGTCATTTACATTACGTATATCTCCTAATGCTATCCCTCCTCCCTCCCCCCCCCCCACGACAGGCCCTGATGTGTGATGTTCCCCACCCTGTGTCCAAGTGTTCTCATTATTCAATTCTCACCTATGAGTGAGAACATGCAGTGTTTGATTTTCTGTCCTTGCAACAGTTTGCTCAGAATGATGCAAAGGACATGTTCTCATCTGTTTTTATGGCTGCATAGTATTCCATGGTGTATATGTGCCACATTTTCTTAATCCAGTCTATCATTGATGGACATTTGGGTTGGTTCCAAGTCTTTGCTATTGTAAATAGTGCCACAGTGAACATATGTGTGCATATTTCTTTATAGCAGCATGATTTATAATCCTTTCAGTATACACCCAGTAATGGGATTGCTGGGTCAAATGGTATTTGTAGTTCTAGATCCTTGAGGAGTTGCCATACTGTCTTCCACAATGGTTGAACTAGTTTACAGTCCCACCAACAGGGTAAAAGTGTTCCTATTTCTCCACATTCTCTCCAGCCCCTGTTGTTTCCTGACTTTTTAATGATCGCCATTCTAACTGGTGTGAGATGGTATCTCACTGTGGTTTTGATTTACATTTCAGATATTTCTTATAAGCAACAGAAAATGGACTAAGACACATCCAGTTACCTCCTCCTTGAAGCTGTCTCCAACGTTCAAGGTGAAACATTAAAGATACAGCACTGTCACATCCTTCCATCAGGAAACACAGGCTGCCTCTTAGAACCAGAGTCCTTCCCAGCCTCCCATCGAGTAAGGTTGGGGATGGGGGCTGTGGAACTGTGCTCTTAAAAGCCTTTTCTATGGATTCTGGATTCTGCCGAGTAGCCAGAGCTGAAAACCAATTATAAATAAGCTGCCCAGGCCGAGTGCTGTGGTTCATGCCTATAATCTCAGCACTTTGGGAGGCCAAGGAGGGCAGATCACTTGAGGTCAGGAGTTCCAGACCAGCCTGGGCAACATGGTGAGACCCCCATCTCTACTAAAAATACAGAAATTAGTCAGGCGTGGTAGTGCATGCCTGTGGTCCAAGCTATTCA